ACAGACCGAACGCAGTGAGGTCTGTACCAGCGACCGAGGTCAAGATTCTCCCATACAGACCGACCTAGTTCGGTTAATAAGATGTTTATTATATGGCTGTGTCTAGAAAGCAACGAAACATTATATTCTTTGTAACTTTTTTTTCTACACCGGTCTAGATGCCGGTCTAGATGGGAAAATCTACAACGCTTTAAATATTGATTTCAGCCAATCAAAGCCGTGAATTCGGTAGTCCTTGTGAGACGCAGCCATATAATAAGCATCATTAATAACGGTTCTCTACTCTCACATTACTTTTGTAGTCTGAGCAAGTTACATTCAAAAGACACGGCCATCATCAGCTCTTTACGACTGATCTGTAGAGGTGGAGACCTCGTTCAGTCGGTCCTTGATGTGACATACAGCTTTGGAAGTCTCTCCCCTTCAATGCTCCTTCGTTAATTACATCTTTCTTTAAGGATGTGATGCTTGAAACGACTTAATACTAATTACCTGTCCGGTAAAACCTCTTTTGCGAATTTTGCGGAATCTATCAAGTCAGAGCTGTCTGACACGAATTCCTTCTTCATCATCAAATGTGTAATGCCAAAAGAATGGATAGCTGTCTACTAAAGCATGCATTCTCTTATTTGTGCTTTGATCCAGATCACGAAATGTCTTGTTTTGGAGGGATTGGAGATGCTCGGTTAAACATTTAGGGTCTGTCACTTAAACAAAGTTTAGTTGTTTCAACAAAACCGCTAACAAGTAAGCCGAACCTTTTATCTGAACATTTATTTTTGTGAACAAAAGGGCCGGAAACTGATAGTACAAGAGCATTTATTTCATTAAATCAACCTTTTTGTAGAGAATTCCTCGTGTAGAGAACCGGCTGATTTCGAGAGATCTCGAGAGATCTCGAGAGATTTCGAGAGATCTCAGCTTGGGTATGGTTTCCACAAAGTAGGTACGAGTTGAGGTTGGGGTTTTCAAACTGGCTAGGAGGCCGAGTAACTCCTCGCCGCAGAGTTTTCATTTTGATTTTGCTGTCTTTTCTATTTTTCCCCTACTTTTCCCTTGTTTTATTTAATTTATTTTTAGCAGTTTTATTTTTTAGGCTGACTTCGTTTTTATGGCTACTGCCCTATGGACGCCAAACCATAATGTTGTCCTGTTGAGTGGGTGGACAGTGGTGGCCCATTTTTAAATTTTGCGCTATGGCAATTTTGGATTTCGGAAACTAATGGCCGATTTTGGATTTTCGACCTTACTGGCCGATTCTAGACTTTGGACTCTAGTGGCCAAAGTCCAATTTCGGACCATAGTGGTTGATTTTGGATTTCGGATTTTGGATTTTGGTCACTGAGATGCTTGGAACCATTCGACGCCCCAATGCCGGAGAAAGAATGAAAGTATTCAGCGGTCAATTATCTACAGCTATAAGTTCTCTGTAAGCGTCACAGGAATTACTGAACATTTCACATGAGCTTACATCTCATACAAAGTGACATACAAAATGATTCCTGCGCAAAATATATAAATATCAGTCAACTTCCATATGGAATGACCGTCGATGGCTTATGTTTTGTAAAACCCAACGTCAGCCTGCTTTACCTAGAACTGAGAATGCCACAAGGCGATTTCGGTCAAATTCTGCGGAAGATCCGCGCGCAATGCAGTAGTTAATGTCTGTCCAATTATCAAAAAAAGTGTGGATAATGAGCACGAGAGAATTTTGACAATTATTGCAAAGAACCACAATAGACAAACAGCAAAAATAAGCTTTACGGTATTATAATGTATTTCTATGCCTCTTGGTAAGAGATCCAACTTTTGAGCCAAAATGAATGTATTTTTGTATAGTATGTTTTAAATGCGAGCGGAAAAAAAGAGTTATCCTTTCGTGTGTCAGCAAATGAAGTTCTTTAATGTCTCGCCTGGCGAAAAGTAAACATTAAGTAAAAGAAGTCTATGTGTAATAAATGCGTCCACAGAGATAGAAATGCGTGAAACTTGGAGTATAACATTGTCCCAATACACAAACTTGATAGCCTCTACGAAAAGTGACCGAATCATTGCGTTTAACGAGCCCCGGAAAATGAGGCCGTCCGCCATTTCGAAATATGCTAATATTGTAATCCTCTTTGATATCATTCTTTCAGTGCTTTGTATTATTCATTTCCTTTATTCTTGACTAGAAACGCTTGATTGCACTCTCAGTCACACAAAGCTCCTCGCCCTCCCCCCCAGCCCAGCTTGATTGTACTCTCAGTCACATAAAGCTCCTCGCCCTTCCCCCCCCAGCCCAGCTTGATTGCACTCTCAGTCACACAAAGCTCCTCACCCTCTCCCCCAGCCCGGTATTTAAAAACTCTCTACACCGACAATTAATCCTGCATTAATATTCAGTTTCCAGATGTTCGAGTGACAATCGTGGACGCGGAACGAGTGCAAGAGAACCTCCAGGTCGCGGGTTCAAATCACGCTATGGGAGTTATTCTCAAAATGGCTTGGGGACCGAATAACTTCTCCCCGAGTACGATTTGGAGCCGTTGTACAAGGAGTTACTCTCAAACTGCCTTGGGGGCCGAATAACTCCTCCCCGTGGAATTTCCGTTTTGTTTTTAATGTCATTTCTACTTTTTCTCCCTTATTTTTTTTCTTTCCCTCTTTGTTTTTTTATTTTTCCCTAAGCGGTTTCCTTTCTTGGACTGACTTCGTATTTATGCTTGTGCCCTGTGGACGCCAAGCCATAATGTTGTCCTGTTGAGTGAGTGAGCGAATGAGTGAAGGAGTGGACGGTGATGGCCTATTTTTAGATTTTGCGCACTAGCAATTTTGGATTTTGGACACTAGTGGCCGATTTTGGATTTTGTACATTGGTGGCCGACTATGGATTTCGGACACTAGTGGCCGATTTTGGATTTTGGACTCCAGTGGCCAATTTCGGATTTTGGACATAGAAGTCCGATTTTGGATTTTGTACATCAGTGACCAATTATGGATTTTGGGCATAAGTGGCCGATTTGGATTTTGGACACAAGTGGCCGATTTTGGATTTTGGACACAAGTGGCCGATTTTGGATCTTGGACACAAGTGGCTGATTTTGAATTTTGGACACTAGTGGCAAATTTTGGATTTTGGGACACAAGTGGACGATTTGGTATTTTACAATACCCACCACCGATACAGAACAACAGTTTCCTTTTCTTACCCAAATATAACTTTTTGACTGTTGCCGTTTACTATTAGCCAATCGGATTCAAAGCCAATGCTATCACGAATTAGTCACATGCGCATTCCCGCTCTAGGTGGCCATCAGGAATAACAAGTTATGCGATTTCAAAGTAAGTTACATGTTTATTATCAAAGGGAGCGTTTCCTGACATATCCAACTGCAGAAGTTTTCTCTCGCTTAACAATGACATCTATGATGCCTCGAATAATCTTCGCCGTATCTAGGTAGTGTAATATCATGATTTTGAGTTGAAAGCAAAAGCTAAGAGAAGTTCTAACATCTCATCAGTCCCGTCTGTTACAACACATCTATCAATGCAATGTTTGTCGCTGTTTAATTTGGGGAAACTTCAGCCTCTCGTTATCAAAAAGAAAAACTACATTAAAAAAAATTATTTACAAATAAATTAGCAACGCTGATAAACTTTTGCTAGCATTTAGCTTCATTAAATACTTCAGCGGCCCTTATTAACTTTTTAACCCTATTTTATGGAGTCTTTTCAAGGGCCTGTTTACTCGAAGGTGAGAGAGTCCAGGTAAGTGAAGTAACCCGCTAAGCCGTGGTCCAAATTATATACAATCTTACAACCCTAAGATATCGGGGTAAGGTTGTTGGCGCCGTTGCAATTGTGACGTGAAGGCGACTCCGGCTAAGCGGAAACGTTTACATGGCAAGTGACAGGGTTCATCTATCCGGCAGACCGGGCGACCCGCGTAAGCGGAATAGCCGAGCTATCATGTAAATGTGATCAAGATAAGATAAGAGATTATATGTACAGGCGGGTTGCCCCACCAAGGCGGGCTACCTCACCTATCTGAGCTCTCCCACCTCCATATGGAAACAGACCCTAAAACATGCGAACTCCGAGGTTCAGATTCCTTGCGTTACCGTATATCATCATGATGTTTTCATGAGACATGAGAAATGTAAATGAAAATCTTTCAATCATTACTCGAAAACTTGACTCGTAGAAGCACCTATTTTATACTGGTGATCCTCAGGCAGCTGGAGGGCGTTAAACGCATTTTTAGTTTTATAATTACAACCTCATAGTTCGCATGTTATTGCGAAGCGCAATAACCTATCTAATCGTACGTTTGCATTCGATTGAATCATATTTATAGCCTGGTCAACCATGAAACCCGTTTTCCTAATAAAACAAGTAGGTTCAAAAAAGGCATTGTAAAGATAAAAGTATAAGAAAAAGTAAAAGTAAGAAATATCATAAAAGTGCAGAGTCCCACGTGGTCCAGTTCTTGTAGCACAAGTTCAACGCAGATTTGATACGCTATGTCGCATTAGTCACAGTATTTGTGGTGTAAACCGAGTGAATGCTAATGCCACCATTGCTACTGTGGTAATAAATGCACTTATAAAAACGGTGTCCTCGTAGCTATGAAATGGGTAAACTTCCTCACTTTCTTTGCTCATAATAAAAAATAGACTGTGCTGAAATGTCTCACCCGAACTAGCTCACGCACCTATGGTAACCCTCTCCCACACTTAAAAGGCGCATGCGATTTTGAAAATGGAGGTAGAAATCCGTTGTTCTATATATTAAAGATAAATAGGGAAATAGAGTTCTGCTGGTTTGGTCGGATACAGTTCTGCTCTTATTTTATCTGAGTGTTTTCCTGTTCGGATAGTTCTTTTCAAAATGCCTCATCATAGCCTTTGTCTTGGCTTGATTTGACTTCTGTGAGCATCTCATTACCAGCATTATCATTCACATGGTCATCTGAGCCAAATCCATTTGTTTTACAATCAATTTTCTTTGGTTTTGTTCCGTCATCGTCTTCGGCCATCTTGTTAATATGAACCTCGGAGAGCATGATGTCTCGGCTGACTCCATTCAGGTTTGTGCCATCCATGTCAAAGTGTTCAACGTGGTCCATGTGATGCTCCATCTGGTATGCTGCAAAGAAGTAGGTGAGCGTTACTGCAAAGAAATCTTCAGTCATGTTACCATAGATGGCGTACTTTTCTCGAATGGAGTTACGGATAGCTGTGGCATAAGCGAAGAATCCAATCAAGATTGTCCATCCAACGTGCGAAATTCCCTCTACCACTGGCTCAAGAGCCATGCAAACAATCCAGAGATAAAAGGGAGCTGCCAGGGCCAGCATATAAAGATATTTCCGGTCTTCTCTGCCAGCGAACTTAGAGGCAGCGTTCCCCATGGAATACCATGGTGCCACGATTGCAATTAGAACCTTTTGAACACTCGACATGGTGGGTTGAGTCAGTACGTCCAGGAGACCAGTAGAAAAGTGTGGGCCATGGGGATCTAAGTCTCCAGCTTCTATTTTAACTGCTCTCCATAAAGCCACGCACATGAAACACAGCATGATGGTGTAAGGAACGCCAGATGCTATAGACACTGCTTGTAGAGCTTGCAGTCCGTGAGTCCCACCGGAATAAAGGAGAGCTGTAGCACAGGCACCTTCTGTTAAAGCCCAGAAAACGCGCTGAATGACGGGTGGTTCTGCATCACCATTAGCTGATAGACAGTCGATCACCAGGGAGCCGCTATCGGAGCTTGTTACGAAGTAAAGGACGATGCTTACAAGTGAAACTATTGATAGGAACATCCCCAGGTCACCCTGTTGGTCCATAACATCAAACCACATTTCTTCTGTTTTTCGAGTCGAAAGCCGGACAAGCTTCCCAGTAGCGTTGCAGCAACCAGATTCAGCATCTCGTTCCATTTTCAAACCCGCGCTGCCAAAAATGCTAAACCAGAGGAACGAATAAATTATCGGGGCCGTCATTGTGGCGTTGATAAACTGCCTGATGGTTCTTCCTCTTGAAATCTTGGCGATGAACATTCCCACAAAAGGAGACCAGGCGATCCACCATCCCCAGTAGAAGATGGTCCAGGTTCCCATCCAGTGTTGGCTGGATTTACCATCTGGAGCATTATTTAGTTGTGCGAACGCATCTGTATGGAAGCCGAGCTGAATAATCCACTGAATATAGTAGCCAATACTTTGAACGTAAACGTTGAGTACATGCCAGGTGTTCTGAAAGAAGAATGTAACAAGCATAAGGAACATTCCCAGGATGAAGCAGATCTCGCTGAGGCGGCGAATTCCAACTTTTAGACCGCTGACCACTGAGGCTGTGGCACATGCAGTGACGCACCAGATAATGATAATTTGATTGGTGGTCGTGATTTCAATCTTTTCCCAAATACGGTTAAAGCCAGTATTCATCTGTATAACACCAAGTCCAAGGCTGGTGCAAACGCCGAACATGGTGCACACCACGGAAAGTATGTCTACTGCGTCACCCATCCAGCCAAAGATCTTGTCGCCAAGGAGGGGATAGAAACAAGAACGCACGGTCATGGGAAGGCCCTGCCTAAACCCGACAAATGCAAGTAGCAGGCCGACAATGACGTACACGATCCAGCCGTGAATACCCCAGTGAAACAAAGTAACATTCATGGCATCCTGAGCACGCTGATTGTCATTGTACCTGAAAATAATAAGTACCAAGTACAGTGTAAATCATTGGTGATATTAATAGTTAGTGTCAACAATAAATTAATGATAGTTTTAGATCAGGAACGTAAATTAAAACAGCCTTTTCAGTCCTCTTACTTGCAGAGTGCCACATACATATATCGTTCTGTTTGCAGGAAGCGATTAAATCCTTTTTCTAAAATACTAAGTTTGCCATTTTGTTGTTGTTGTGATGTATTACCTGCCATAGTAGCGGTTTTTAGTGTCGGAATAGTGCCACACAGGTTCAGCTGTGAAGAGACAAAAATAGAGGTTGAGAATACTGTAAGGCCTTCCCTTTTACCTCACCTCTCGTCTTTCCCCTCCCTCATTCCATGTAATAGTCAACCTACTTGTATCCAGAGATTATAATCTCTTGCTTTGTAGCTGTTCCTTCACATCCAAGCATTTTATTGTACTAAAAGGATGAGTATCCATTGGTTATAGCGAATGTTTGGAAAAATCTCTCCCCCTCCCCTCCCTCCTTTCTCCTTCTCCTAAGAATATGCACCCATCCTAAATTCTAACGACGCGTTATCTATGGCATTGATAAAGGGCTTCTGATTCAAGGATTCAGCCGTACTGTGGTATAGTAGAACAATCAGAACAGTTACAGAGCAGTAAAATTTTTTTTGGTGAAATATTCTGTTCTGGATTTCTTGACATCTGCTTATTATCCAGCAATGGCATAGTCACCGCAAATATTATCAGCATTTTCTCGAGTATCCTTTTCAAAATATATGCGTTTGCTGATAAAAAAAAAAAAACGTTTGGTAGGAGCTAGCGCCATGAAACTGGGCTGAAGCGAAATCAGAATTGATTAGGGGCCAGTCAGTAGAAATCGCCCAGAGGGGTTGGTTGATTTTTTGCAGGATCATTGGTTTTCAGGGAAACGGAGTGGGGATCACTCGCTGCTAACAAAGTAAAAAAAGCAGGGGTGACTACAGAAAATTGTCCGCCAAATTGACCCCCCTCCCTTGGGAGATAAATATTGATCGGTCCTCTTACACAGGCAAGAAAGGGAAGCCTAAACACTTCTATTAATCAATTCGTAATGCTCTTAGCTCCTGCAAACCCGATTTGTTTGCTTACCTAATTTATTTGAACTCAATCGTATCGTTTGCAAGGCATGTCAAAAGAAATGATACACCTTCCAAATTGGCTTAGCTGTCAGTTCGGTTCATAACCGACTCTGCACTCGATCTGAGTTGTTTATCTAAGCACATAGTTTGCGTGACTTGGGTTTTATACTTTGCGTTATTGACGCGATCAACGGAAGAATTTCCGTCTGAAGAGGGCCTTAAAAAAAAAAAAAAACAATCGCATTTAACAGTCTGACGGTTTGCTTTAAATCTTTCAAAGATGCGAGGACGACATTTACGATTCAATTTAATTTGGGTTCGTGAACAGGTCTGTACAGGTTCTGTTATTCTGTGCATTTTAGACAAATGGTGAATGGTTAAAAAAAGATTCGTTAAAAGCCTCGCTTCTCGGGTTGATAGAACAGAACATTAGTCTTTGATGTATATGTCACAGTTGCGAATTCTATCGCAAATAAATGTCCAAGTTCTAATGTTTAGTGCAGAGAAAATTCCATTTCATTCACGTTTTTGGTATGTGATGACACAGATGCTCATGATAAACATCGCGTGCGTTGTTTTGCGGTAATGACGTCGTCGTAGGTGAATGGAAAATACGCTCCTTTTCGATTTCTTTCATTTTCTATTGGTTAAAAGTAAAAAGTATGATAGAAGAGATCACTTTTAAGTTCTAGAATGCTGTTATCGTCAAGTAAACTTTGTCGGCGTAGTTAGATGCTTTGACGCTATTTCAAAAACGAGCGCAGGCCTTGACAAAAAAACAGGAATTTGAAATCTGTACATATTTCGGTATCTAATTACACAGACCCCTTGGAGACCACGCGTTTGATTAAGTAAAAAAGCTCAGGTTTGACAGGTTTTTTGAAATAGACCAATCAGTTACACGCAAAAAAGTCATACGATAACGAGTGCGGACTTACTCACTAAACTGTTGGGAAATTACTGGAGTGATTGACATCAAATTTTTTTCCATAGCAAATTGTTACCCAGCGAGTCAGTCTGACAACGAGAAGAGGGAAAATCATCAGGTAGAGAATATTTTCCATACGGAAAACTACGTCGGAATAACTTTCCCGCACGATCTCATATAAACGTCCGTAAGACAACATAGTAATTGGTGAAAAGAACACAGTAACAAGTCTGGCTATTACAGTCAACTAATAGAGCAAATAACAAAATTACTGCGAAAAATATGGTTAGATTTATTACTGTTTTATCATCAGGAAAAAAAAGAGCATGTTTTATACGTACAGACGAGGAAATTATAAATCTTTTACGAGGGTGATATTACTTTCGTCCCATTAGACTGGCGTATACAAACTAAAAACCGGTACGTACCAACTCCGAAGAAAAACAAACCGACGCCTATCCCAGCTGCGAACAGCATGGTGAAGTACGTTGCGTCGCTGAAATCCGGTCTGTCATCCGGTTTTCCCAGCTTCATTTTCCCGTATTTCGAGAAATACAGGACTATAATAAACACAGCCCATACATCTTGGGTACCAATGTACATCCAGGTGCAGGTTTCCGTGATCCACTTCATGGACTTCGTCAACTCATCGTAAGCGACTTTTGCTTCGACTGAGCAAAATATCACAAAGGCCCAAATAATCGCGGCCGAGATGGAAGTGACGATGGGGTTAATTCGAATGTTTACTCCAAATCTTCCAATTTTCTTTCTGACTCGAAACCAAGTGAACTTCTCCGAAACGTTACTGTCAATCTCCATATCTGCAGTGCGACACGTTCAGCTTTAGTGGTACTGCTGTCAATATTGCGCTTCTTGTCGCACAGAGCACAAGTCGGTTTATTGTATGTCGATACACGAGACCTCTTTAAATATTGGTTTGTTTTTTTTTCGATGGAATGTGATTGTGTAATCTCCCCTCACACGCCCACTGGACTTGTCACTTTTGTTTCCGTCTGCATGACAGGATTTGTGTTTCACTCCAACTTTAGCACGTACTGGGGTCAATTTACTGAAGCGCGTAATTTTACTGGCTAGCACATCGAGCTAACTCGGATATTTCCTCCGCTAAAGGGCTTCTAACTTCGATTTCATTCATTTTTACTCGGTTTTATTGCATCTGAGATAGACTCAAGGTCAACTTAAACGTTGATACAGTAATAAGTGTACCACGTATGAGCGCCATTTGTAGCACGTGCGAGGCACATCACAACCTGACTCTAAAGGGATAAAAGCTGAACTTCTCTAACAAATCCCATCTGGAAACTCGATTCTTCTCTAACATGCTGTGAGTAAAACTTGGTCAAATAGATTCAAAGCTTAAAACAGGTCATTGCTGCAATATTGTTCTAATTGTCAGATTTAAGAAGGAAACGCTCGTTCTTTAGACAGATTATCGACAAACAATGACCTGCGCACCGACAAGCCACTATGACAACGGAATTGCCACCTTAACCGACTTAAAACTGTTTATATGTCGCCGATTAAAAATATCATCGAGAAAAAATAACACAAGATGCTCCTCTGAACAACGCAGAGCGTCATGCGAATGACACCGAAGGTCACGAGTGAAAAGTGAACTAAAAGTTTCGAACTTGAATGTTCAAGGAAATTTAGTTCGCAAAATAGGAAAACTAAGTTTTAATTTGATTTCAGTGAATTCTTCTAAATAAAGTGATACAATGGAGGGGTCCTATTTGTACCAAGGATAGACACCTTACCAAGGAAGCTGGATTTGAAATATTTCCTTAGTGGTCATAACCGTTGATGTAATAAGAACTCAGACGGTATTGTGTGTAATCAAATCTATGATATTTGAAAAATTATTTGCTGATCTGCCAGACGTAACCTTTCACTTTTCCTTATAGCAAGTAGCCAATGTCGTGAAAGGAATTGACGATTAATTGTTGTACGATTACGGTTTGAGAGTACTCTTACTTCCGTTCCATTTGGATTTGCTAGTTTATCAATGAAAGTGCTGACTGATATTTTAGAAGCAAGCGCCACACAAGTGGAAACACTCACGCAACACACTGTAAGGACTCACGCTCTGAGTAACAGTGAACGAAAAAGTAAGCGATATTAACCGAGCAGGTTTCTTTGAACCTCTTTAGATCACGCTGCTATTCTCCCATTTTTTACCGAAACCACCTGAGTGACTGAAAACTTTGACGTAATCAAAAGTGAATTTGGACGTTCGCTTTTGAAGTAAACGCGCGACTTAATCTTATTAGTAATTATCCTTCCGCGTTTGTTGCGTTGCGTATTATAATTTCTGAACAGATCTTGTCTTGTTCCCTCACTCGTCATCGCTGTCGTTGTAATCCCTTCTTATTATTATTTTCTTTTTTTTTTTCATTTTATGCCATCACTGCTTTGAGTTCGCCGGGATTAAAAAAAAAGCGTTGTGTACCCAGTATGTTTCAATTCTCATTGGTATTTTTTCAAATACGTACTCATCTCTTATTAAAAGAAGTCATGTCAACAATACGTATGATAACCGATTTTAAAACGAGTCTTATCCCTCTTTTTAATGGAAAAAGAAAAAAGCCGGGCGAGTTTAAAATATGGGTTATTGAACATGATATACCAGCAAGGGCTACTTTGAATCGAGATAAACGTGAAAGAAATGTTCTCAATCTGAAGAGCGGAAATATTTACCAGGGGCTCTCGTTACGACACACTCATGTGACTCTCTGACACGTCTTAGAATCTGCCCTAAATATCATACATTTAGTAGTGAGCCATCCCTTCGAGAACATTCCATCTCGGCAACTTATGATGTAATTAGTATTTATTCCATGCATTGTTGTAATGCGCAGTTGATCATCCCGTCATGGAAACGGCGCAATATAAATCCACAATTTTATTATTTTATTATTTTTTTATACTGATTGCTCTCATTCGCATGTTAGATAATCCGAGACGTGATTTGCTTCGAGTCCTTGAAAAAAATATTTGTTGTGCTCAATCCACAAACACATCTAATATCGTGTTCGCACTTCCCCTCGCCAACCTCCGCCTCCGCTTGGGTTACAAGGAAGTTGGCTCTGGCTATTCTCTGCTACAACGATAAAGTGGTCATGACCGTTGAATCTTTTCGCAAGAAATACTTTTACTGATGATATGTTCTTATCAACGTTCCATAACACTAGGCTCTGTCTTGTGCGTTTAACATAGCCGGTGACTGGCCTTAATACAGAAAGAGAGGAGGGGACATGGAGAAAGATCACTTGGAAGGATCCCAAGGAAGTGTTCCTCAATTGTGATCTAGGTGAAAACAAGATCGCCCCATGTTGCCTCCAATTTTACGACAAAAAAAGAACTTTTGCTTAAGCACTTTTCAATTGGATTACGTACTATTTTAAACAACTGTTCCAGCAATTGATATTTTCCCTGTGCAGCGACACCGGTACCCTTTTCACCTTTAAAAAAGGTGGTTTCGCCCTCAGAACAGAATGACGGGTTTCAGTCACGACCCTTTCCCCTCTTAAATCGACTGTCTGTGTATCAGTTCAAAGCGGGTCCCATGATATCAATCTGAATTCCTACAACCAAGCAGTTTGCGGGAAGAGTACAAGTTCGAACATGATTGGAACCAAAGGTTGAATAAAACACTGAACGTACCAAAGATCGAGAATACACTCGGAATCCGCAACTTCACCTTCATTTATTTTTTGCAAATGTTAATTTATGCAGTTAAAAACGATCACCTTCCTTTTTCTGTCAGTTACATTGTAGTTTACGCCTGCTGTGCGTACGGAATTGACGTTAGAGTTTGGTTTGTATTTGTCAAACAGATTCTGTGAGAATTGTGGTTCTCTATGGTTCCAATAAATTCTACAGAACAGATCCATTGATTAAGAATATTTTGATAGAATTCGTAACTGAACAATCCAGCAGTACTCTACTAGCAATCGTCCAGCAGAGGTAGTGAGTCATCTGGGAAAAAAAGAAAACTACTTCATGAGTGGGCGTTGAACTTTAACGAATTTGATTGCCAACTTTTTAACAAATCAACCGGTTTCGAATGCTTTCTACCCTTGCTTGTAGAGTTATTGACTGTTCTTAGACCAAAGGGTTGAAGATGTGTCGTAAATTGACGTATACAGTTTATACTTCTCAAGGCGAAAACTAATATTTGAGCAAATGATTTCTTTGTTTCTATGCTCACAGAGCTCGAGATATATGGTTTCCTAATTTTTCTCGGCACGTACCGATATCACCAATTTACTGCCGTGAAGCGTTTTACAGTATGATGTAATACAAAAACGGATACTATTTACAACGTGACACCAAACATGAAAGGTGTGAACTAAAATGCTAGAAAAGTGTTATAATGCTGTAATTATTTGTTAAGTTCAGGTTTGATCATATTTATATAAAAAGCTTCTTTGAGTTTTAAATCAATTGAGTTGTTAGCAGAATCCAGAATACTAAAGCAAAAAAGGGAGTATTTGTTCTTACAAGAAGGAGATGTGGTCAAATGCTTAAACATATGCGAGTTTTTATCGCTTTCCGTGTGCTCCTTTATCCTAGTAGAGAAAAGGCGACTAGCGGAAATTACATCCCAACAATTGTTGGAGTTTAAGGTCCGCTATTTTAGAATAATAGCCGACAAAAGGGAGTTTAAAGTAACGTGTATTATAAATAAGATCAAACCTGAACTTAACAGCATTATAACACTTTTCTAGCATTTTAGTTCACACCTTTCATGTTTGGTGTCACGTTGTAATTAGTACCCGCTTTTGTATTACATCATACTGTAAATATTTTATTCATCTACTTGTCTGTTATATAATTACTCACGTTCAGTTACTCATTGACTGAAGATGGCATAAGTATGCCGAAACATGTCTCTCAAAACAGCTGTCTATTTCTTATAATATTTTCAATAATAAGAAAACTTGAAAGATTCTGGTTCTTTAGCCCTTTCGCTGGCAGACGTACGAATTCGTACGCTCTGACCCTATCCATACTAAAAACCTCAGCGGACCCCCAGATAGTATTGTTTTGAGTTCTTAAAGATTATTATGGTTTGTCAAATCACATTCCTTCATTCTTAGCCGTTTTTCTCGCTGTTTATAGCTAAATTTGACCGGTTTTTCGCCAAAAAAAATTGCTCACGCAATACTATCCTTTTAAAAATGGGGTCTGCATGGATTCCGGTCGAGGAAGCACGGCGAATTGTGTTAGAGAATGATCCTAACGAAGTTTTCTTTTGAGGGAAAAGGACCGTGACTATTTGGACTTGTGAACTGTATCTTTGAATGTATGTCAAGTATTTCATACTGCATTTTTCCCTGTGCCTACACTCCTGAAGGTTGCTATGGATTGTAATTTTTTTATAAGAACAGAACCATTTTTACCTTATGGTCCATTCATGGTTCTTTGTGTCCTTCGTGGTTACTATTTTGGTGATTTCAAGTGAAGCTAGCTGGTTGTTACTCAAGTATAGTTTTGCAATATCACGTATCCTCTAATTTTTTAAAATTGCGAAGCCGCACCTTGATGAACAGTAAAAGGCATAACTTTGGTTGCAATCAAGATAATTGGATGAAATAAAAAGTGTTTGGTTCCTGAAATAATAACTTTTGCATAATACAAATGATATGCTCACAGGTACGTTTATGCCTTGTCTTAGTAGCGCAGGAAAAACAACATACTCTTAAAACATTTTGTTATGCTTGGCTTTTCTTTCCCCAAGTTATGTGCACAAGGACCCATATGTAACAAAATAGTTATAAAATGGTGGTAAATTTTCTGCTGATTAAAGTGATGTATAGTTTGTTGGGGTTGAACTTAAAATGTGATGAGCTGTGGCCTGATTTGTCGGCTTACATCATAGAAAAATATTGAGTCCCCAGACCTGCCAGCGAAAGGGTTAAATCATATGATACCATCATCATCATCCTGTACATTGATCACTGTTGTGTGTCAGTTACTTCCTGAGATATATTATGGTGACACTATCTCTATTGAACGTTCTGTTCAATAAAACCTCCAGGTCAAATTGTAAATCTTATTGGGTTAAAAATTATTAGCAATTTTAATTTAATGTTACTTCAGAGTACTACTCAACATATGATTAATTAAAAATATTGCTTGTGTTCTGATCTTTATATGCACCTATCTTTTTTCCAAAATTATTCCATTTGCAACCCCATATCCACCTACTTCAACTAAATTTTTCTGTTATTTATTGAAGATACTGTCCCACAAAACCCAAATACAATAATTATAGTAAACGTTTGCTTGCAACCAACTAAAAATAGATCTTTGTGCCCTAATGGACAATGGAAAACTATGCTCAGCCTTGTGTTACTTTACATGTATGTGTATTGTCCAAAATTAGTCATACATTCAAACCAAATCAAGCTTCCCATTGCTTCTAGTGTAGATTACATCATTTCCTGAATGTCTGGGCCCGTGTGTGAAGTTTTGTCCTCGTGTGCTGGTACACAAAATGCCAAAAAATATTCATATGAAATGTTTCCCTGGAGTTAATTTCAAATCACTTGCCTTGGAAAAGACAATCAATGTACAAACTTCAGAACTCAATTCCACTTTGTTATGTAAACAAAATCGACTGAATCTATCAGGCCGCTATGGGAGATGATGCTGAGTTTTTTTTAGTTTTTTAAAATCCTTAGGTTACATGCACAACCTTTTTTGTCAAAATGAGACCTGTAACAAAGTTTGGCCATTGACACTTGTCATGAAAATGAACATTTCAGGACTTTTGTATGCTAGTTATCTTGTTTCATTGATGAACAGGAGCAATATTGAAAACTAACTAATCAGATGTTAGCTCTTCTTATAGAAACTCAATAGGACACCTGCAGACACTAAAAGGCAGCTCTGAATTTCAGAAGGCACACGTATGAATTGAAGATTTATTTTTATAAATACGCCTGTTGAAATCAAATATATGTTGTGCTTTTTTGGCTGAAGTGCTTTTTTGTGCTTTTTCAGCTGAAGTGATAGCTGGATCATGAAAGTTTCACATTTATTGTCAAAGCATGCAAGTACAGTTTGAACCGAGAAGGTATTCAGAGATTGGACTCAGGATTTGAACTATAATTTAAGTTTTCCCTCGTCCATCCGACTAGATCACGGAGGGTCGTGGGTTCAAATCCCATCTGGAAACTCGATTTTTAAAAATTGTTTATTTTAATCTATTGAATATTGTCCATTTATTAAAAACTAGATCATTGGTAATGCAATTCAAGACTATTTATTGGCTTAGCCATTATGGTATATCAGCCAATATACCATAATCCACAAATATGGTAAGCGTACGTGTCAGCTTAAAATTAAAAGGGGGCTAAAAATTTAATAAAATTTAATAATTCAATTTAAAGTTTTTAATAAAACAATTATTCCACTCGCGCTTGTCGGATATGTTAAATATCTCTTGTCACGTGTCAATCAAACTTTTCGAAAATTTTTTCTTTGGTTTAGAGTTGTTGTGTTAAACTAAAAGGGCAATAAATCATCTTGTCGGACCAAGTATTGAAGCCTGTTGTCTTTAAATGTGATGTATTTTCCATTTAGTGAATTTGTTTAGGCAGGAGGAGAGGCCTACGAAAGCAATTGTTCTGCAAGACCTCGCGACCCCGTAACGGAAAAGTGTGTGTTAGTATTCTTGCTTACTGAGGTGAGAAGTTCTTGCGACGACTTGCAATTAAGCTGCATTTTGTTGTAAACACGACATGAATAACTCAACCAACGGCGCCAGACTGATTTCAGAAGGCGACAAAGATGAAACAGTATGTTCCTGGATTGTTTCCATGGCACAGGGTAAAACAGGAACAATTTCACTTGGTATTTTTTTCATCCCCGTCTTGAATATCGTGCTCGCAATTACTGCTTCTCGTGGGAACATTCTGGTTTTAATTACTCTGAATAAGGAAGATACATTGTCAGCGCCTTCAAGAGTTCTTTTTCGTTCTTTGGCTACCAGTGACCTCTTTGTGGGCGTCATCTCGCAACCCCTTTACGCCATTACTCTGGTCCCAGAGGTTCTCTTCTCTCTACCGGAGTACGATAATTCAGCGCGAAGCGCCGACCAACGAGCTGCAATGCAGCGAGCGTAGAGATTCTCTAGGCTCGCTGCATTGCAGCTCGTTGGTCGGCGCTTCGCGCTGAATTATCGTACTCCGGTAGAGAGAAGAGAACCTCTGGGACCAGTATTTTGTTCATTGAAAATGGCCATTTAGCCTTGTGTCGTATCATAAGATATCTAACATTTGTCTTAAGCACGACTTTGTGCGGGGTTTTATCATTGACACTAACTGCCAATATTATGTCTCGACAGACTACTGGTGTTGTTACTGAAATCCAGTTATCACCGTATTATAACCCGTTCTCGGGTGATAGTAGTCGTGGTCTTATTTTGGACTTGCAGCCTTGTCACTGGCACAGCTTACTTGATAAACAGAAGAATCTTTTTCATTGTATCATGTCTGGTGATACTGCTTAGCATTGTCATTTCTGCCTACAGTTATTCTAACATCTTCTTTCTTCTTCGAAGCCGGCAGCGAGTTAGAATTCATGATAGTCACGCTCGGCAAAACAGTTTTCAAATGAACAGAGCGCTAAGATTCCGTCGACAGTTTACAGTGCATTATGGGTTCATCTCACTTTGGTTATGTGCTATGTGCTATGTGCTATGTGCCATTTTCAATAATAGAGGCCATCGCGTTTCGGATTGGAACACTTCTACCTATTTTTATCGCTGGAACATGCACCGCCACGTTGATTTACTTGAATTCAACGATTAATCCTTTTCTTTACTGCTGGAAAATTAAGGAAGTGAGGCAAGCTGTGACGCAGATATTATGCAAATGCCTAATGGCAGAAAAATATAGAAACAACAGCCTCCATTTGGCGCAAAGATGTGCCCTTGTTATTTTGTTGTTTCATGCTGTTTTAGGCACCTGTCATTGTTTATCCTCCCGGAGGGGGGAGGGGTCGGAGAATTTTAGTTATGTCAGGTGGTAAGTTACTACTTGTCACGTTTGGTTCATCTTGAGAACATAATAACGGCTTGATTGTGCATAGGCTTAACACCAAAAGCTCACCGTAAATTTTCGATTTGCGCTTCGCTCCGCTGGCCGGTAAAAAAAAGGAAAGGAAGAGACTTTAGTTTCAGACACAGTTTCAGTGTCGCTGGAAGTCACATACCAGGGTCATTAGCCGAAATCAAAGTAATGATCATCGATCACCAACGTAAGAAGCTTTTACTTGATTAAAACATTTTCAACGTCAGTATGCCTACATAATTCAGGGTTTCATTAACAATGAATGTTCGATGAAAATTTGGCCAAAAAAGAATAGAGTGCTTCAGTAAGGAGAATGGGTTCGCGTTGTCCTTTCTCTCAGGTCACGTGTAGGATAGAGCTCCCGTGTGCGGTGACAGCAGCTAAGTTACTACACGATTGGTTTCCGGTGTTCACTCTTTCACTGCTTCGTTGCCACTGTATTTAGTTTGAAACCGTTTGAAGTACAGGTTGTTTGGAATGTGGACTTGGCAAAGTCTTGGGGCAAGAATTCCATGTAACCCCAAACATTAATTATGCATTCAGTCTTTGTTCAATGTAAACAGTAGCGAGAACAATGGAACTCATGCAGTTGAACGTCATTTAATTGGGCTCAAACTGGAAGAGCTACCTCGTGCAACTTTCCAGTGGAATTGTTGAGCGGGCTACAACTAGATGGTTTGCGCGCGCTCGTGATGGATTTCCTGGGCGATTTAATTTAAATTTTCTTCTTTGCCTTAAAAAGTTTCGAATTAATCAAGGGATTTACATTTTTCGTTTGTCCTTGAAGACATGCACGAGGAGTGCCATGTTTACATAAGGACTTCGGATAGGTAGGGTGACCTGTTCCCCGGCCCCTCCCCCGGGAACCTGCCTAGCCATGGTTGAAAAAAACCAGGGGTATCCAATCAATGAAATAAAATATTGGTGACAATCACAATCAAGCAATACCAATGAATATTTAGATAAATTGATTGATATTGATATTCAAGAACCAATTAATGCCTAGAATTTGTTTGGGGAAGCCAATTGATTTGACCATAAAGCAATGAAATTAAATTTTGTTGTCAATTGACACCAGTCTATTTGATGTAATTAACTGATGTTTTATTATTAACTTGATGGCAGAACCAGAGTGCATTAAAACCCTACATATAAAATGTTATAATCAGCTTTGACTCTGACTGAAGAGATCAATGCAATGACTATTCTTAAAAATTCACTACAATATTATTTGAAGCAGGCAGGTGATAAGGATTATGTAGATTATTGGGATCAATGGGGTGTAACCTTTATATGAAATAAAATTTTCAGCTGTTGAAGAAATTATGTAGTTTTTAAAATTGCAAAATAATGATCTGACATGTTAGGGGTTATCAGGGTTCCTATTGATAACAGACAGCTTTTTGCATCTGAGGGGGCAACCCTGAGGGGTATAAATCACTGAAGGTTCTTTTTATTCTTAAAGTGAAAGCTTTTAGCTTATTCAGAACTTGGTTCCACGCTACAACTCTATCAGGGATGGGTTTCTTCAAAATCCTTCCACAGAATAAAAAGGTTGTAGGTCTGTCATCCATGACTTCTGCAACTCTGTCACCAATGAGGGAAGATCTGGGAAATCACGATCGTTGAATGATAGTTTTCCTGTGTCTCCAAGGACCTATTAGAAAGAGATTTTAAGAAACAACCCATGATATTGATGTTTATATTGTATTATCCAACAAAACAAAAACAGAGTAGAGTAGCAAATAGCATTTAATTTCTTCCAGCAATTTCAATGTTTGAGAATAATCAAAAGTGACCTGCATATTATGTATTCACATTGTCTTTAACACCTACTGGCTTAATTGAATCATTTACTTTCCCTTTAGGGAATGCTCAGCATGTAATCAGGTTTCCCTGTAATCTTGTTGGATATAATCACTTCGACCCCATCCACAGCTTAATTAAGATAAAGGGCTAAAAATTGTGAAAATTAAAGATTCTCAAAGAATTCACTATAAGGCCACATTTTCAGCATTAAAGAGAGACCAACATTTTTTAAGTCAAGGTGTAGTCTGATCGTCCGGGTGAGTGTAGTCCTGAGAAGGACTGTTGTCGGTGGTAGTGACTGACGTTTCGACAACCTGTGCGGTTGTCATTAACTGTCTTTAACGTTGGTTAGTAACTGACGTAGTGTGGTGATGGGTTTGTGGGCGACGCGGATATTGAAGGGTAGTAAGATGCACGAGATGTTTTCAGACATGCCTTTTATGTACGGTATGGTTGCTGTAGTCGTAGGGGTT